AAGATTTTAAGTTCTGCCTCTGAGACAAAACGTCCTTGGTGGAGGTGAAAATGTCCACCTTCTTAATACAAATGCCACAGAGTGAATCTGTGAACAGAAAATTGCTGGATCTGCACTAACATTGAAACGGTTCCTCTGTGACCCACACCACATCCTTCCACCAAGTGTTGTGTTAAACCATCCAGGCGTTGTTGTGTAATGCTGCAAACACCCAGACAGACAAACAAATGCCTTAAGTAACATGTGTCACTCAACAATGTGTTACATGAATTTGTATCATTACACATTAATAACAGCGAAACTCTCTTTGTTTACCTGCAGCTGGATACTGTGGCAGCAGAAGGAAATGGACCCTGGTTACATAGACAGAGAAGAGAATGGATCATTGCCCCCAGAAAGCTGAAGGAGAACCACGACTACACCGGCCTGGAGAGTATCGCCAAAGTGTGTAGCCAACTTCCTCTTTTACAATCATTTTAAAACAGATAATAACATATAAAGCCCAACATTCATGTACACACTTGTTGTGTGTTAAATTTGAGTAATCGTGAAGGATATTTTCCACTTCGCTGGTTTTTATCGTTTGATTTTTGAAAAGCCTGGCGTAGACTGAGTATGTGTGAGAACAGGTTCTGATCTTTGTTCAGATGTTTACACACACACACACCTACTGTCTGTTGTTATCTAGTCTTATATCTCTGGATATTACTTCAAGTTTTAGGATCTGATGTTGTAATCGTTGGATTTAATTAAGTGATGTTTATTGCCAACAGACCGTAATGATCTGTTTATGGTTGCTCTCATCTGGGCGAAAACACTTTGAATGCCAAACTTTAGATAACTATATACGTCACATGCTTCATTATTATCCAAATGACAATAATTCGAAATTAAGACAAACAAACCAACAACATTGGAAATTTAACCTTGTAATAAACTATCTTTGAACACTTTTCCAGAACAGGTGGATTCATTGTGTTTCTGTGTTTGTGTTTCAGATTCGCTCTGATAAGGAGTACAACGAGACAATAGTATACTCTATATCAGGGCCTGGTGTTGATAAACCGCCTTACAGAGTATTTTCTGTCAACCATGAAAATGGTTTGGTTAAAATCCATTCAATTCTGGACCGAGAGGAGCGCGCCGAATATAATGTGAGAGCTCTCACCCATCCTGTTTGCACAGTATAAAGCACTTACAGGTCAAGGTGTACAGTGAGCACACGGTCAAATAATTGTGGTTTCTTTTGTTGTAGTTAAAAGGTATGGCCAGGTTTAAAAACGGGATACCAGCTGAGGAACCTATTGATCTTAAAATCACTGTTGAGGACGTGAATGACTGCCCACCAGTCATTAAGCCTCAGCAGGTCGGATCTGTCAGTGAATCCAGTGCAGCAGGTATTTGAAGACGCTTTACGGTGAGATGGTTCTGAAAAACAAAGGCTTATCTGTACTCAATCATCTGCATTATTTCTTTCCCGTCTAGGTACTTTTGTCATGAGAGTGAATGCTACTGATGCCGATCAAGAGAACACACTCCACACAAAACTCTTCTATAGCATTGTCCAGGAGAGTAACAAGGATGGGATGTTCTACATCAACTCTGAAACTGGAGACGTCATGGTGAAACAGACGACGCTGGATAGGGAGGTGAGGCCCTTCACTGCCCTCTCAGGTCTGTGTCAGTGTCACATGGGTTGCTTTCACACATGGAGAAAAAACACGCAAAATGCAGAGTATGCAGGAGGTAGGACATGATGTATGAATTTGAATGCGGAAATCACAGGTTTTATAGAATTTTGGCAGTTCTTCTCACCAAAAGCTCTTCATCAGCGTCTACGACAGTTTTTCATCCTGAGATATTTGTATTCATTTGTTTTGTTCAGTTTTGCATTGTTCGCATTTTCAAAAAAAAAAACCCTCTGACTGAATTTTCCAGACCTTTGTCTGCTGTATTCTCACATGGGCTCACTCACAAGTTTCACTAGGGGGCTGGCAGGAAAAGTTCAGGAAAATGTTTGGAGCCACTGACTCTGACATTTGCGTTCTCACATAAAGCCGCTCCAGAAAAATTAAAGAAAACGTCCAGTGCATGTCTGAAAGAAGCTATAGTGAATCTCATTATTACACCATTGATATATTTTTCCATTAGCTCTTATTTTGATAAATCAGACATGGACCTGTCTGATTTGAGTGTGATGGTTATTTGTATCAATACAGTAAATTAGCATCACCTCACAAAATAAATATGATCTATTTTTCTCCATAAACAAAATTCCCTGTTGGATCACAGTCAATATTAACCAAATATTAAGAAAGAATAATTTTAAGTTTTTCTCTGATTTTTCTTTCAGATAAAAGATACTTACAAGTTGATGATCAGAGCCACTGACATGAACGGACAAGGAGGAATCTCAGGAGATGGAGAAGTTGTGATCAAAATTAAGGACATAAATGACAATGTGCCGATCTTGGAGAAAGAAATGGTGGGTGTGGCACCATACTTTCCACACCTCCGTTCTGTTTTTCAGTTTATACTTTTTTGTGCTTGACAGTAACGGCTGATTTGGATTTTATTTTGCAGTATGAAGGGAGCATACAGGAAAACACTATTAACACCGAAGTGTTGAGGATTCAAGCCATTGACATGGATATGATTCACACTGACAACTGGAATGCTGTCTATGAAATCGTTTCAGGGAACGAGGCAGGCTATTTCAGTATCACTACTGATGCCAAGACCAACGAGGGAATCATCACGGTTAACAAGGTAAAAACTGCAATTGCACTCACTCAGTAGAGTGAATACGGGCCAACAGCCCTTGAAATTAAAACAAGCCTACACATTGGTGGTAGTGACAGGTTTCCATCCCTGTTTGTTACCATACAGCAACCTATAAAATCACATTTAAGTGCAATAGATCCAGATATTAATTTGGATCAGTATGAAACTGCACACACTCATCGATACCAACCTGCTTAATATGTCTGATTTGTTTTTCAGCAAGATTCACAAATTATTCTGATAGATCTGCCCCAAAATCTCCTTGACTCACACCACATTGTTCCGCAAAGTTTATTGTGGTAATCTGTTCAGCAGTTTGAGTAACTTTTTTTTATTAAAGCTAATGTGATCTTACGCATTATCCTTGAATCCACAGGCGCTGGACTATGAGGAACTAAAGGTCGTCAACTTGGGTGTGGGCGTCTCCAACAAAGCGCAGTACAATTTTGGTAGCACCCAAATGTCAGGATCTATCGGCCAAAAATCCTACCCTGTCAAAATTAATGTGGTCAATCAAAAGGAAGGGCCCCGTTTTGTGCCAGGTGTGAAAGTGGTGACCATCTCTGAGGACCACAGCTCCATCTCCCTCAAAGAGATCATCACTAACTACGCTGCTACCGACAGTGACACACTGCTGACAGCCACCAACGTCAGGTACAACCACCCAGTAGTGAAAGAAACAGTGCATATACGCAACACAACAGTGCATTTACAGTATGTCTTTGTGTCTCTGGATTTACATGTGTTTGTATTTTCACACTTTCAGATATGCAAAAATCCGCGATGATGACAACTGGTTGATCATAGATGAGAAGACAGCAGATATCAGGCTCAATAAACTACCTGACAGAGAGTCCAAATTCTTGGTCAATGGAACATATTATGCTGAAATTATATGTATGACCGATGGTGAGTTCTGTAAATCTGTCATTATTCCCACATGGACATACTACATATGGTGATGAGTAGGTTAATGCTAATATCGCTTTTCTCTTATCCCTTTCTTTCAGATAATCCCTCAAAAACTGCCACAGGCACCATAGCCATTCAGGTGGAGGACTTCAATGATCACTGCCCAAAACTGACAACAACAGTTCACACTCTGTGCCTCGAGGAGAACGTCCTCTACGCCACAGCCGTGGACGAGGACGAGTTCCCCAATTCAGTGCCGTTCGAGTTCACAGTGATTGAGGACAAGAGTAAGGGGAAATGGACGGTGGAGCATTTTAATGGTGAGAGGACGTGAAAAGGGAAGTTGGTGGTCATTAAAGTGTCAGCAAATCACTGTTTAATGGGGGCTTTTCTCTTCAAGGTTTATATTTATATATATATATGAACAAATTCTGCATTCAGCGCTAGTCTTTACTTTTTATTTCAGTGGTTTCATGTTGTTTACATTTGTTGCAAAAAACATGTTTACATAGTTTATGTTGTTCATCACTGTTTCTATCAGGTGTAAATTCACATTTTCATAATGATTCCCCAAATAATGTTATGCTACTCATATTAACATAACTTAGTTGTTTGCTCTGTTGTTGCATTGTGTAGCTGTGTGCACCGCTATTTGTCTTGACCTCGTTTGTGCCATAAAGTTGTTGCCATCAAAGCAGACAGTTGAACCTCATAGTTTCAGCTGTGCCCAAAATGCAGTTCTCTCTCTCCTGGGAGAACTTCTCTTACGGCTGTGTCTGTGCCTGTCACTCGGTATCTGTTGCCTGTTAGAGTGCCCCTTCTGCATGTGCAACCACCGATACCACCATAGATTGAACTGAATTCTGTGACAAACACTGAACGTTATATTTTAGGGTCGTAGAATAGCTGCACTTCTGCACATTTCATTTCGTATACAGTGGAAACTGCTTATAGTGATCAGGGATATAGTAATCAACCTTCTTTACAGATCATAAAGCTTGGGACATAAAGCTATACAAATGTTTTTTAAATAATTTGGCTGTAGTGATCAGATAGGCCCTTACAGTTTTCATCTTTTATACATGTTTGGACAATAGTGATCATTTATCAGTTTTTACCGGCTCTGTCAGTAATTTACTGCTCAGTGTTACCACTCCCTCAAGTACTGGGATGATCAGAAGCTATGCAATTATAGTAATCAACCACTGAGAGTATAGTAAGCAGTTTACACTATATTTGCAATACACCAAACTCCATTTGGTTTTTCCACCCTCACTCCACTGCATTACGCATTTTTAATAGTGGGCATGGATTACTGGGACACTCAGAACACACAAAACCAATTAAAGTAACAATCTACCACACCTTTCCTCCAAGTCTGTCATGAAAGGGGTCCAGCCGCCTTCGTAATGTCTGAATAAAGAATGTCAAAAGTATCTATTACTTTTAAATATGGTCCTCGTCCTTTTTTAGCCACCACAGCAATTCTCAGAGACAACGCCGACTTGTGGCCAGGTATCTACCAAGTGGCCGTGGAGGTCAAGGACCAGCAAGGGAAAGCATGTGGTGACCTTCAGATGATCGATGTAACCGTGTGTACGTGCGAGAAGGACACCAAAGTGTGCACGACACGCAGTTCGAAGACAATAGGTTTGGGAGCTGGAGGGATCCTGCTGCTGCTCCTGGGGCTGCTGCTGCTGCTGCGTGAGTCGAGTTACTATACTCATCTTTCTTCTTTTTTCTGGTTGTGCACTTTGATCACAATCCGCAGCTTTTCCAGCACAAGAGTGTTTCACCTGTCGTGTTGTAGCACGTCGAGAGATATTTACTGCAAGAAGGAGAGAGTTACAAATGGCTCCGGCATCTACTCCACAGAGTTCAATCTTTTTCTGGAATGAGAGTATTTCGCTGATTGTTTTTTTAGATGTGATGTCTGTAACAGTTTATTCTGTTGTGTTGTTTATTTTTTCAGTGTTGCCGCTGCTGCTGTTGTCCTGCCTGTGTGGAGGTGCTGCAGCTGGGGGAGCTTTCAAGCCAATTCCATTTGATACCAAACAGCAGTTGATTTCATATCACACTGAGGGACAGGGAGAGGACAAGGTACTTTGACCAGAGCAGAGAATGGATTTTATTGAATGAAGAGATATATTTAGCTCAGAAAATATGTATCTATCTAGTAATTCCATAAAGCTGTGTTTCTGTCTATATGTGGAACTCACATCTCAAGAACCGTTATCTTATCGGCTTCACACTTTGCATGTGTCTTGTGAAAAACTCAAAGTGCCGTGCAATATGTTTGATACTAATACAATTTGAATAAACAGGTTTCAGTTTCAGAAAGAAAACTGCAACCAGTGTTACCACAGGTCAAGCAAACAACCCATTCCAAACAGGCGGGTTTAGAATGGGCACTGCACTAGTCTTCTCAAACACTGAATCTCTGATGGAATCTCACTTGTTCTTACAGGAGGTTCCTCTCCTACATGTCCCGGTGGAAGTCGACGGTAGGGCCGGGAACATGAACATCATCAACCGGAAAGATGTGATTACAGTCGGAGGAGCAGCGGGTGGAGGAGCAGTGGGTGGAGGAGCAATGGGTGGAGGAGCAGTGGGTGCAGGAGATGCCACTGGCATGTATAGATTCATGACAGAAGAGGAATGGCGCAGATACAGAGAGACGATAGGATATGAATCGGGGTCAGGGTTCTCCAGAGATGGGTTCTATAATGGGATGGCTCTATCTGATCAGTTCCTGGAGGAGTACTTTGTGAATGTGAGTACATTTACGTTTAATTGATTGAAGTTTAATAGTTAAATTATTCATTGAGATAGGGTAGAATTTGTACATTGGATGATAATTATTATGTTTTCAAATTAAAATAGTAATTAGACAATTTTCATCATGGTAGAAGCTTGATATTCAAGTCCAATTCACATATGCTTGTTCTGGTTCTGTTTGCAGAAAGCAAACCATGCCTCACAACAGTCCCAGCAGAAGGATGGACTGCTGGTCTATGACTATGAGGGTCAGGAGTCTCTGGCAGGTTCTGTAGGTTGCTGTAGTCTTCTCGAGAACGATAATGATCTCGCCTTCCTCAACGACCTTGGGCCTAAATTCAAAACCCTGGCAGATATTTGTCAAGGATCAACCATCGTGACTAAGTTATCGAATGCAGATGTGTCCATCTCCTCACCAAGACCGGTGTCTCCAGTCAGGCCCTCCACCTCCTCCCACACACATGTCCACACTCACACAGAATCGATCAGGGACAGGGACCGTGTCCATGTCAACGCTGTGGACATCTCCAATGTAGCAACCGGATCCTCCACGATCTCACAGGAGGAGTTAATTACTGAGAGAGCCCAGGTTTCTAACGTGCAAGTCCAGGACAAGATGATGATTCCCAGTCAGACCCTGCTCATACAGCAACCCACTATGTACTACACTGCTGCGCCCATGTACGTAGTCGAGTCACAGCCCCAGATGATGCTTGTGGCTGGAGGCGCCCAGCAGCAGGTGGTGGGTCAAGTAGCTGAAGTTGGGCTGAGTCAGGGGATGAGTCAGGGGCTGGTGCAGGTTGGTGGTCACCAAGGTTCTCAGGGTGTGGTCCTCGTAGACAGGCAAGTAGGAGTGGATGGAGCCATGGGTCAGATGGCCCAAGGCCTTTCGCAGGGAACTATCTCCAGGTCCAGGAAGGTGTTCCTGGTGGAGAATGGGTCCACCGCTGGACAGCAAGGTGGACAGTTTGTGCAGGGATTTATTCAGACAGGGGGACATTTTCAGGGACAGGATTCCACAGAGCAGGGCCTTGGGGTCAGTGGTCAGGGCTTGGAGGTCAGAGGTCAGGGCTTTGAGATGAGGGCTCCGAGTTTTGCGATGGGTTCACTTGGTTCAACAGGATCAAAAGAGGATTTCTATGGCCACACCCAAGTTTCTATGGCAACACCCAAGTTACAAGGAAGCCAGAAACTGGTCGTGCAACATAAGAAAGTGTCTGTTACAGAGAGAAATACTGAATCTAATACAAGAGCCTAAAGCAAAGAAAAAACATTTGCTTAGCATATCCACAAATGTCACAATGCTCATCTACTGGAACTTACTTCAGTTTTTTAAAATATACTAAACAATCTTCTCGTGGTACAGATTGATAACTTGTTAAATTGTGGTATAACTGGTTACAGTAAGTACAACACTGTATGTCCTCTACACTACTGCAGTATCATGACCATACAATTACACATTACATACAGTGTTGGTGTAAAGTTTATAGCAGAACTGGGAGAAAACAACAGATTATAAGAGGCATTTACACACTAGCTGAGGGGGAACAGAACATCTATGGCCAGTCAGTGTAGGCAGTGAATGACAGCCATTAAATCACCATATTTACTTTAATACACTAGCAAGGCTTCAGGGTGGGAGCGGCCAAAGTAAACAAAACTAAACAAAACCATTCAGTCATACACTGCATATTATCTCATCAAACTGCAAACCTCAGGCTAAATCTTCCAACTAAAGAAAACTGGAAGAAGTGGATAACATAAAATAGCCACAGTACATCTCCCAGGGCTTAGATAGGTGTCCACCAATCACATATATTATATCAATTTTGAAGTATCATAATTGGCTTGAAATAATCAAATTTCATGTTTTATTTTGGGTAAAATTATTGTATGTGAGTCATATGCAAGAAAACAACAATTATTAAATAGTTTATAGATAAAGATACTCTGTGATTGTTAAGAGAAACAAGTGTTTGACACACCTATACATCTAACCACACAACTCCTATGTCCTCCGACAATATGGTAACTAAATAACATGATTGGCTTGGAAGATGAAGGGTGAAAAGGAATGCATAAATAGAACAGATCCAAAGTGCATACTCACGTACATCATCACAGACACAGACATAGGATCCATATTTTACTATATTTGTTATATTATAATAAGTCGTAGTCACTAGCAACCAATCATAGCACCCCAACTGCAGGTCAAGGAACATCTCTGCTTTAATGGGAACAAAATAAGAGCGAAACACAACATATGATGCACTAATACATGAAAAAAAGATGATGGATTGTAGTGGGAACATTAAGTCTGTAAACCAGTGATGGAACTCGTGTTCTCCTTTCTGAATATTCCTACAACGTATGAAGGACAGAAAGGTATTTCATTGGTACAGATCAATACTCTTAATTAAAACTCCTACAGGTGCAGTAAGAGAGGCACTAAATATCTTACTTATTGAATTTGTTGTTTAATCAGCACAGAACCAGTTTCAGAGAAAATGCTGTGTTCATAAAATCCCTGTTAAAATTAAGATAAATGTATAATGTTTGATAAAGTCACTAAGACAGAAACGTGTGTACATAGTATCCTGCTGCAACTCACTGCTGTGAGTGTTGTATATTTTTGTGTGGTGTATTTGTTTTTTGGAACGTTTTAGCTGTAGCCGTGCCTTTAGCTGCTCTGCTGACCTTTGGATTGTTTGACTTAGTTATACTGTAACTAAGACCTGGGTGGGAATTCGTGGGAGAACTGTAAAACTGATAAAAGCACCGTCTGCAGCAGAATCAAAGCCCGAGTGTTCGAATGATTTAATTCACCAGGAAGGGACAAGGATCTTTTTATTGCTAGTCATTGTTGATCGTAAATCACAGAATAACAGAAATCCTACTTTTTATTGTTGCACTCCCTATTTTCTACAGAATAATGTGGGTAACTGAAATAATCCAAGGCTTTTAATTTTGCTTTTTACAAATGTTTATTGTGACATAATTCCCCCATTATTTTTTATTGTATTGTTTTTATTCTGTGTTTGTGAAATATTTCGGGTTTGTGAATGGGAAAAGTGCCAAGCACTAAAAGACATTTGGTAGAATGACAAATTCATTTTTGGTATAGTTGATATTTTAGTAGTGAGCTGTATGAATACAGCATATGTTGCTCTAGAACAGCGCAGTACTAAAAAAAAGCATTATAATGAGGATGTCTTCATTATTTTCAAGTTTTGCACGTCATAACATAATAAAATCTAACTGAAAGAAACTGTCCCATCTATTCCTGAATTCTGAAATATCTTTATGACATTCAACAAATTAAATAGCAAGTTAACTTATAATTATATATATATATATCATATATATATCACTGTAGTAGTATACTAAATAGCTAAATATAGATGTATAATAGTACACAATATGATATAAATATATTAAATAGGTGATCAGCTGATCAAATTCACGTGAAGGGTAGGAACATATAGTGGAAACACTCCATATAGTGTCTTCACACTATAGTGTCTTAAGGAGACACTGTTATCATCATTGCACATCAGGTGCAGACAGATACTTTCTCTCCATTGTTTTGTTGTGTTTTGAAATACTCATTCATCAAGCACCAACTGACAGCACCAACTGTCCAATGCACATACCTCATTATACCTTTCACACTCGGTCCCTGTTGAGCCCGTCTAGTTAAAAGTCCATTCCTGACTCGTAAACCTTAGGCACATTTTTCTGAAACAGGCTTCAGTCTGTGAGGTTAAAATGTCAGAGGGATTCTGCTCTGAGCTTTTTAACAACTGGGCTCTTTGTTGCTGACTTGAAAAGATGCATTCATGCCTTACTTAAACAAAGGAAGTAGAAATTCAGGTTTCCCTCATGGATGACAATGGTCATTAATTTACATGAGCAATGCAGAAGTCCAAACTAATGCTTTTATCTTTTTAATTAGATCTGAGACTTTTATTCTTCAGTTTTGTTTTGCATTCAATAATAAAACCAATGCCATGTGATAATAAATGCACCGTTGCCATGTTGCCTGCAAGAACACAAAAGCTTGAGGGCATGTTCCACCACTGTCTCAGCTTTCAGACGACCGGTCATGTGATCAACAGGTGGAGGTATAGTGTCGGATGGACAGTGAACAGGCTGAGTTCATGTGAGCTATCTAAAAAGGCTACATCAGTTTTTACTGGCTCATAATTTAATCCACACCATGTCACAACTAGAATGGCTAAAGATAATGATTTAAAATGTCCTGATCCTGTTCCTTTGTATGGACCTGTGCTGGAATTCAATGGGTTGTTTCTTTCCCACGTCCTTGGTGGAGGTAACTTAATTTCCCTCCAGCTTCAAATACCAGAGTGAAATAGTTTTCTCTTTTGCATATAGTATTTCATCAGTGTGTCAAAGGTTTGTCAACTAACTGAGTTTCAGTTACATCTAGATGGTGATAGATCCTAGATCTCTCTCCTGATCGTGCCTGCTTTTTTTCTATCAAGATCCATGAATCATTCTCTGATGAATGAAAGAAAAAATATAGTCTAGATGGTTACTTTTCATCTTTATTTTCTGATTCAGCTCCTGAGCATATGGTTTGTGACTTTATGTGGACTTTTTATCTCCTAACTTTATTTACTAACAAGTACGATTTGATACAGCAACTATATAAATGAGTCTCTCTTCAGTCCTGACACATACGAGCAAAGTGGGTTAATCTGTTTCATGTGAAAGTCTGTTGTGGCATGACTTTCCCTCTGCCTCAAGTTTTGTTTTCAGTTTTTTCTTTGGCCACAAGTCTTGTTGAAGCAAATGGTTTCTATCAACTGTGAAACTGAAAACTTGCCAGGACGGGTGTGGCCAGACATTGAACATATTTCACACTCATAAACCTCTGGGATTAGTGCAAGGTTCAGCTTGAATCGCAGTGTGTGTGAGTTCATGTGTGAGGCTCCAGCACCGTGTCAGCAAGTTTCATCCTGTCACTGTCATAGTTCACAGTCAGTGATTCATAGTTGTCTGGTCGCCTGTTCTCTACAGATTTAGTTTTGTTTTAGTGGTGCTGGATTCCTCCCTTGTTGCTTGGATACTTGTCTGATGACTATCTGCAAAATAAAGCTGTAGATCACAACAGTATTCACCATTTTTATGAAACTCAAACCCAGAAAGATTATTCTAAACCATCTGATTATTGTGGTTACATAACTTCAGATATTTCCCCACAGTGCAGAGGTTGGATTTCAAGGGGCAAAAGTAAAAAGGCATTTTTGTCAATAGAAAAGTGTATTTTACTACAATTATGATGACGTATACTCAGGCATAAGTGTGTACATACTACACATCTTTCAAAAAGAGGACCAAAGAAACGATGACAACTGTCATGTGTTGTTCAGTTGCTCACTACGTTTAAAATATTTGTATCCTGTAGCTCTCAGCCCAAATATAATTTCTTCCTGCTGAATATGTTGATTGTTAAAAACTTTCTTTAAAGATCACACATTTGAATATAACTCCAAACGGTTCCCTTTTAAACCAAATTCAAAATCACTAGATCATATGAAATAAAAACATGACATGATGTATTGACAGGAGTGGATGTTTTATTGGAGACAGTGAATGCATATTAAAGTAAATGTTACAAAACTGTATTGAGGACAAGACTGTACTTCTTTTTTTGAATCTGGCAAAGCATGAAAACCACATATTATATAGTTGCATTTGTTTAAACATCAGTAAAAGCCATAATCTATATGCAGCATAGTTTTCAGCGATATTTCATCATGTTCTGAACATCGACCTCTCTATAGCGAGCTTCGTATGATGTCACTGCTCTGTCCAACAACAGCTACTATTTGAAGGGAGTGGTTCACTCAGAATGTCAGGTCAGTATTTTGTATAATCAGTGGCGAACTTCCTCCTCATCCTCTATTTCGTCTTCTTCATATTCGCCCATCTCGTCTGCGGTGGCGTCCTGGTACTGCTGATACTCCGACACCAAGTCGTTCATGTTGCTTTCGGCCTCGGTGAACTCCATCTCATCCATTCCCTCTCCAGTGTACCAGTGGAGGAAGGCCTTGCGGCGGAACATGGCCGTGAACTGCTCTGAGATCCTCCTGAACAGCTCCTGAATGGCCGTGCTGTTACCGATAAAGGTGGCAGACATCTTGAGCCCCCGGGGTGGGATGTCGCAGACGGCGGTCTTGACGTTGTTCGGGATCCACTCGACAAAGTAGCTGCTGTTCTTGTTTTGCACGCTCAGCATTTGCTCGTCCACTTCCTTCATCGACATGCGCCCGCGGAAGATGGCCGCCACTGTGAGGTAGCGTCCGTGACGAGGGTCACAGGCCGCCATCATGTTTTTGGCATCGAACATCTGCTGTGTGAGCTCCGGCACAGAGAGTGCGCGGTACTGCTGACTGCCCCGGCTTGTGAGAGGTGCAAAGCCCGGCATGAAGAAGTGCAAGCGGGGGAAGGGTACCATGTTTACAGCCAGCTTACGGAGGTCAGCGTTAAGTTGGCCGGGAAAGCGGAGGCAGGTGGTCACGCCGCTCATGGTGGCTGACACCAGATGGTTGAGGTCTCCGTAGGTAGGTGTTGTCAGCTTCAGGGTGCGGAAGCAAATGTCGTATAGGGCCTCATTGTCAATGCTGAAGGTCTCATCCGTGTTCTCCACGAGCTGGTGGACAGAGAGAGTGGCATTGTAGGGCTCCACCACGGTGTCGGACACCTTCGGGGACGGCATGACGCTGAAGGTGTTCATGATGCGGTCGGGGTACTCCTCGCGGATCTTGCTGATGAGCAGCGTGCCCATCCCCGAGCCTGTACCTCCACCCAGAGAGTGGGTGAGCTGGAAGCCCTGCAGGCAGTCGCAGTTCTCCGACTCCTTCCTCACCACGTCCAGGACTGAGTCAACCAGCTCAGCTCCCTCGGTGTAGTGACCCTTGGCCCAGTTATTTCCTGCTCCGCTTTGACCTGCGTGTTGGGACGTTAAAAGACAAATCACAAAAAAAATAGCACAACTTTCTGAAAATGCATACTTTACAAAGGGTTAATCAGTGGATTGCAATTAAATATTAATACATGTACATGCTCCGAAGAGGATGGAGCCTATGGGGATCTAGCACCACCATGACATTAACATTCTATCCATTACCATGAATTTTGGTACAGACATAAAAATTAACACGTGGAAAATGGCATTCCTTGTGACCAGGATTAAATATACAATGTGTAACTTTAGGTTAGGGGTCTCTCAATCAAATCTATAACAAAAGGCCTAGTTTGATGATGTTCAAGGAGGTTGAATCATGGACGTTGTTCAAAAGGGAGAAGAAAATGTACCTGGCGAAAATCCTGTTCAAGAATGAGGAAATACATTAACATTTTATTCATGTTATGCTGCAAATGGCAATGAATAAATGTGCATCATTACAAGTGATCATTTATTATTACACATCTTCAATTGCTTGTATATTATCAAAGCTTAAAGCTAGCTCTGCTCTTTGTGTTTCCTGCTGAGGAGAAGGAGAAATCGCCAGCATCCTGAATGTGGTGCAGTTTTTTGCCTCCTCATTTGTGATCAGCACTGCAGCAGTTTCTCCAAGTAGATTTCTTTTTTCTTTTTCGCTGAGTCACCACGAGAGCTGTCTCAGTCTGACACAGCTGGACACGGACAATGCATCAAACTACTGGCACACTGCTGAGAAGCTGCAGAAGCTTTGTGCTGAGGATAAGCAGCGCTCCGCCCCGCTCTCTGGTTAAACTCGGAAATGAGAGCAGTTGCTGACATATAGACACATGCATGTCAGCTGGATGAGGATGAGCAGTGACATTATGATTCATCGTCCACTCACCAAAGACAAAGTTGTCAGGCCTGAACAGCTGTCCGAACGGGCCGGAACGAACCGAGTCCATGGTCCCTGGCTCTAGGTCCACCAGAATGGCACGGGGGACATATTTGCTGCCTTTGGATGACAAAAGATCAGAGGGATAGAGGGACAGGGAGAAGTAATGGATGGAAGGGTGGGGTAAGATACCAACAGTCTCAGTGCGCATGATATCAGAGCATTTGTAATGAAGTCAAAAGCTTCAGAACTTCAAACCATTCTTTTCCATATTTAGAATACCATTCTAAAATGCACGTATACCTCTTAGGTACACACCAGCCTGTCTATCAAGCTTGATAATTAGAAACTGCACAGTGTGGTCTATTGTTAGTTTCTTGCACTTTACTGTGCTCCACCCTCTCCGTCTGTGACTCCACTAGCAAACTGCTGCAGCATGCTGCACCGCTTATTCTGGAGCAGCGAGGCTTTCAAAGTGCTGAGCTCTGCAGAGTCCAGACAAGATTTCATCATCCCCTATAGCTGCCTCTGCCTTCTTTAATCTTCTTTTCTCATCATCCTAATGTTGCTTGGCTTTAGTAAAAACATGCAAACATGTTTCTTCTTTGATTTTAAGGAGAATTGATAAAAGGGGGGGTGGGGTGCTCAGCTGTAAGCCAGTAGGTGACACTGATGTCATCATGCAACATGGAAACAAAGGATCAATAATGCCTGCTGCTGTGGGAGTTAGCAGTTAGTAGTGAATATGCAGCTGCTTTCTGTGTAGGAGTTTCATTTAGCCAAAGCAGATGATCCATGTTTGATTGGAATTCTGGGTACACATAGATCTGCACTGTCGGAGCTACAGCTTCATGACCACATATCCTCATTCACCAGGCTCCCATTGACTGACTGTTTTAATGTGCAGCGGCTGCAACACACAATGCATCTGGAGTGACCTTCAACACGGCACAGCAATAAAATCAGATAGCCGGGTGTGACAGAGGTGCGGTGAGCTCAGGGGCGTCTATGGAGAGACTGCAGATACCTGTACTCCCTATAGAGAGAGAGAGAGAGACAAGAGGGAGAGGGAGGGCAACAGACACAGGGAGAAAGAGAGAGAGAGAGAGAGAGAGAGATTTTAGAAGGTTCACTGTCCTAATTTTTCCCTGCACTCATGGTGGGACCTACTTAGCCCCTTTGCAGCTAATCTAATGATGGAAGGTTGTGCAGGGATGATGAAATATGCAAACAAAGCTTTGTGCGGTGGTAATATATTCAAATCTAAACGTCTGATTTATTCAAAACTAACTTTTTTTAAATGTAATTTTTTACCTGACGCCTCATTGTAGTAGACATTTATCCTCTCCAGCTGCAGCTCACTGTCACCTTGGTAGGTGCCAGTAGGATCGATGCCATGCTCATCGCTTATCACCTCCCAGAACTAAGAGGAGACAAACAGAAAAACAGTGAAAAGCAGGAAATGATGGATCCAATGCTTCAGGTGGGCCTTTTTTTTTTTTCTTGCGTTGTTGCGCATCTGCTTGGCGACAAAACGACATTACGCAGCAGCTGCCAGCAAAGCTCGGCCCCACTGCACCACACATCTCACACTGATAAACATTTAAGTTAAGCTATCTGAAACTTTTTTTAACATATATATATTGATTCCTCCAGGAGACTTATTCAAACGACTCGAGGCTATAAATTATTCATGGGGGGAAAAAATCCCCTGGCACATAACACCTGTGACGTTGCGCATTAAAATGACTCAGTTATTCCCTTTAGTTTAAGGTAATTGATGGTATTTATACCTTCGCCCCGATCTGGTTTCCACACTGGCCGGCCTGGATGTGAACGATCTCCCTCATGGTGAGCTGCGGATGCGGGTCCTTGTCCTTCAGCCTCTCCGTCTCGCTCTCTGCTGTGGTTCTCTAAAACCAGCTCTTCACCTCTTCTCTGTCTCAGAGGCGGGTGTTGATCCGATGATGTACGTGAACGTGCTGCTGGTCAGATGACGTCACACGCCCGGCGCAGCATCCTACCCCCCCCTCCTGTATCCCCGGCAGCCAATGGGAGCGCAGCAGTTTTGATGCAGTGGCGGAGAGGCTCGTGCTGACTCATCCTCCTGACATCAGCCCCCTGTCTGCCCCATGATGGAAGAAGGTCTCATTTTTGGACTGTTCTCCTCAGTCTAGAGAAATTGTGAGTTCTCTGCCAGGAAACGCTAAAAGTTTGTCAGAGCGACACTGAAGGCTGCATGTGTGCTGATGAGGTCATATATGAGCTACAGGCCCAGATTAATCCACCCTGTGAGTTTGATTCAAGCTTTTTTGGGGAAGGTTTTCTTCATCCGATCTGATGGTCTGAGAAAAGAGGGTGTTGGTTGCGGATTGTTAAAGGGATAGTTCACCCATTTTGGGGTTAACTAGCCCTTTAAGCCCTCTTGAGGATTTGTGACATTGCAACACATAAATCTCACGTGAATTTGACCTGTGCCTAAATGCTGCATAGATAAGAAATCTTATATTATTTTCTACATTAGGTGTCAACTAGAAAATAGATCTATTTTGTGTCACAGGGGCCCTCTATCGGACAGATCCTCGAGATATAGGAGCCACCTTGCAGAGTTATTGGTTTCCCATATTTTAGCAATGCCACCAGTGTTGTTCAACAGACAATTTCAAACTGAAACCCAGTCCACTACTGTGAGCCAACACATCTCTGTATGATGAATTGACAGAAGTCCTGAAAGTAAAGACTCCAAATAGTTGCAATAAATAACAAACAATGAGCCTCTGACTTTCCCTCTATCACCCGTTGGACCATATCAGATAACTTGTCTCTGAAATATAGTTGTTTTTTTTTTCCTCAAGTTCAATTGAAACAATATTGATGATTCCTGATCACCATTATCCGACCTATATTGTATTTTGTCCAATAATTAATTTTATGGCAAATTAGACCTGCAAACCAAGTGACCTGGCCTTTTTGCTGAGGGCCAATTAGCAAATCTTAGCTTATTTATTAGCTAAACTAAGATAGTGAACATGGCAAACATATGAGCATTTTAGCATAGTCATTGTCAACTTATTTTGGGGAGGCAGTAGCTCAGTCTGACTTGGCTTGGGAACCGGAGGGTGGCCAGCACGGACGGAAGCTGGAGAGGTGCCAGCCTTCATGGCTGCCCACTGTTGTGGTCACTGTGTTCCGTGTGTGCTCCGTTCACACGGATGGGTTAAATACAGAGTTCAAATTTCCCCATGTTTGCATGTTGCATGCTGTGTGTGGGACCATAAAGAGGAATCTTAATCTTAATATTAGCATGCTAACATTGCCTCAATCCAGCCCCACAGATGTGCTAGCATGCCTATAGACTCTTGGCCTTGTCAGTAATATTGAACACGAAAACTTTACTTTAACCAATACTGTTGTATAAATTAATAGATCTGCCACTTGAAACACATTGCCTCTCTGTTTAGGGCCAGCATGCTATTATGCTAAAGTAAGATTGTGAACCTAGTAAACAGTAGTTTATACCCAATACCCAAATAGTATTAGCATGCCAACGTTATCCAAGTACAGCCTTGCTGCTAACGTGATGGATACTACCTATAGATTTGTAATTTATCACCACAAATGAACACAGATAAGCCTAAACTTCCAGGGAGATCTTTTATTTTCTAGTTCATTAAAAAGTAATTTATTTGAAACATGCTTACAACAGGGAAATATTTAAATGTTTTTTTTCTTGGGATCAACATTGAATAAATCCATGACAAAAAAAATGCTTATTAAAGAAGACAGACCCTGATGTTCAGTTGATCAATAAATAGTGGTTTATTTTAACAACCGGTATGGCTTATTTACAAGTGCATCATGTCTGTTAAAACAAAACACAAAATGAAACCAAACAACTGGAAATTATAAATGGTACAATCCATGTTTTTTTTGTGGTTTTTTTTTTTACATTCATTCAAATCTCCCATCGAGAGATTCGGAGTAGCACGGTTGAGAGAAGCAAAACCTGAAATGTGTACACTGGGGACTTCATGTCTCAGACACTTCACCGAGTTCAAAACAATTCACCAGTCCGTCCATGATCCAGGAGCTTTCATGCTATCAAACCTGGCTGTTTCCACGCATTCACTATTTACAAAGACATTGTTTTTCTATTTTTCCTCTTTCCCACCAGTAAGCGTCAGCCTGTCGACACCCATCGCTGATGCTGGTGCTGCTTTGGATTGCTTTCACTGATATTTACTTTCATTTTAAAAACATCAAGTCAAACCAAATGCTTACTAAGACTGATGGAATAACATCAACCCTGTGGAATAGCTGCAGGGGAGCTGTGAACGTGGAAGCAACCGATCATTGTGTTGTGCTGTGTCATGTCTTAACACTTGGTGCATCTGGATGTTTGGGAGATACACAGTTCAATATCTGCAATACGCACACAGAGACAGAGAGAACGACATTCACAGACGACGAGAACTTGGGAGTAATGTTACGCTCGACCTGCTCTCTGCTGCAAGAGTTCCTTAATAGATTCAGGTTCAAGTCCCTGCTCCACAAAGTAGATTACAAGTGGTTGTGTTGCAAAAAAAAACAGAACAATCATATTTAATCTAGTGATTCAAAATCCAGCTCCATTTTTCCCTTTTTAAGATGCCGAGCTCCACCGAATCTGACATCACATGATTGCAGGGTATTTGTGCTTTGAGGCGTGTAGCAGCATGTACGTTAGACACATCACTAGAATGGAAGTTGACGATCTATATCAAGATCATCCTGAGTCGAGCTTTCATACTTTGATTCAAGCTTCATTTTAGATTAAAGAAACAAAAACAACCACAGGCAGGTTTGCCCAGTCATTCACATACCAAACACAAACAGACTTTGTCCAGGAACACATGACTTGAGCAAGGTACCTGTTTGTTTTATTTTTTGTTTTTTAATATGTGTGTACTGAGCTGAAAAGAACAGATCTTCTGTTAAGTGTTGTCTCTGACTCCTGAATGACTCACTAATAGATCACCGATACTCTCTGGATACATGATTCACTGTGAGAGGTTTGATCACATTTGAAATGACACGACATCATTGAGTTGGCTCTAAAGTTTTACAGTACAGTGTATTGTTGTAAACAGTGGTCTATCTGTGATCACACATCTTTCTCATTACAACCTGCAGTGTATTAAGTGTGTAACCGCATCTGTCATGTTACACACATAGTCAAAATATAAAGCCGTCCACATACGGACATGGAGTCTGTCGATTTAAGATCATGAAAAGTTTTTTCTGTAAATAAGGATTTGACCTGTTTTCCAAAGAAAGTATAAAATATTGCATTTTTAAGGTAAACTTGCATGTGAATGGATGAACACAGGGAATATGATTCGGAAAACACGCTGAAGGTTAGTGACGTTGCGACAAGTCACCAAATCACATGGGTCATTTTTGTCATCCGTTTTAAACTGAGCTGTTGTGTAAGTGTGTTTTTTCTTTTACGGTTTGCTTTAGTTTGTTTGTTCACGATTATTTTCATGCTTCGTCCCCACTGCGAATATGGATGTGCCACCACACTGAGGTGCCACAAATACTGTTAGAATGAAGAAGTACAGTCTTGTATGCTAAGAGCACGTCATGGGACATAGTTCAAAAATAATACTTGGAATTTAAAAAAAAAAAAAAAAAAAAGTCAATCAAGCTCAGCAACTAATTATGCATTTACTTACACTTATCACATTTACAAATAAAAGCATTTGCATACCATAAATTTCATTGACTGAAACGTTTGAAAAAATACGTTTTCTTCAGACCGACAAAATATGGGTCATTTTTTCCCCCCGGTCACTTCATACAACATGAACCACGTGTTGACGACCGAGCTAAGCTTTTATCTTATCTCTCAGTTCTAATTCTTCACATGATCTTTTCTGATGTTTTTTTTAAATTTTTTTTTACTAATTTGAGAATTAATCGCATTTTCTGAAATTTGGGTTCATCTGATTCGCTTGAATCCATGTACAGTCGATGGCAGGGGACCGCTAAACAACATTTCTCAAAATACTGCGTCAATACTAATGTTTTGGCACTATGTCTACATTTAATTTTGGTCATTTTGGCGATTTTGGCATTGTATTAAAAAAAAAAATCACTCCAATTTGGACTGTTTTTCTCTATAACAGCAAAAAAGTACTGTAACATTCAGATTTTCTTGTCCACACAGGTAAGGCGATATTTTTTTCCTTAAAAAATACGTAAGACAGACATTTTATTTGAGCAAAAGTACCAGTGATTAGATTTTTTTTGCCTTTTTTTTTTTTGTTTTTGTTAGCATCATTGCATTTCTCAATTGTCCTGACGACACATCTCAGTGATTGTAGGTGTAGTTGTTAAGTCTCTTTAAAACGACAGACTGTAATTTCCCATTCATTTTACATCAAAGTAGTTTATAGGCTGGTGATTTCCAGTGACATTCAAAAAGAAAGAAAGAGCAGAAGATACTGTCACATTGTCACAAACCAGCCCCTGGCACTCTCTCACTTGGTGGTCTTGTTTATTGGCTAATTGCTGGAAGGTGGGCAATGGGGTGAGGGGTCGGGGGTCATCGAGAAACGTACAACAACTGTGTAAGACATGTCTGCTCAACTCCAGGCAGGGACAGTCTTCATAAACCCTGAAGTCTGGAGCAGGAAATGTCTTGCCGCTCACCCCTCCCCTCTGGTAATCGTGTGACGTCGGGGTGGTGGGGGCCTGCCTCCCGACGTCCATAAAGCTTTGTTTTCCTGGCCGCGATGCTGGATCAGGATGACGCCACACCATTGAAAGCGTTATTTTCTGTGCTGGTGCTGTCCCTGACGGGGAGGGCGACACCAGAGTCTATGGGCGAGGAGACGGTGCAGTCCAGCAGGGAGGGAGGGGTCGCTTCTGTGGAGTCTGAATCTGCAATGGAAGTCGTCAGTGAATCTAAGAGGAGGGGAGCGGCTGTATCAGGCATAATGTCCGTGAGAGTCACAGCAGGTGATTCTGGAGTGGAGGTGGACACAATGTCTGTGACGGGGAGAATGGCTGCAGACGGTGTGGTGGTCTTGACAGTGTCTATGACGGGGGGAGTGGACGTGTCCTCTGAGGGTAAATGCTCAGCTGAGTCAGTGGGTGGAGGTGGAGAGGGTGAAGGGGAAATGGTGATTATAGGGGGAGTAGGGGGCCGAGGAGATAAATCATTAATACAGGGGGAGGTAGAGTCTGACTGTGGCGGATGGGAGTCTATAACAGGAGGTGAGGGGGAGTCTCTAGTTAAAGGAGGAGATTCATCTTCTAATTTTAACTGGATTGGAATGTCAGAGTGCTTGATAACGGAGGGCGGAGGGTCTGTGGAAATGTTGCAGTCTTTCACAGGAACAGGGGAGGGAGCCGGGGATGGAGGGAGGCTGTCAGGCATAGATGGAGTAGAGGAGTCACAGGGAGGAGCAGCGAGGGCTGAATTGACATCAGTGTCCTCCGGCAAAGTGGGCTCAAGTTTCACTGTGACGTCGTCAATGTCGTTCATGGGGGGGTTTGGGGATTCCAACATGGAGCTAGGTGGGGGCTCGATGACGGGTGTGGTGCAGATCATTAAGGAAGAGGGCGCAGTTTGAGGGACGGGAGGAGCAGGAGAGTTCGATGAAGGGGCCGGGGGAGTGGCTGACTCTTTAGTCGGAGAGGGACCAGTGTCGTTCATCTCGAGGAGGACAGAATCTGACGCGAGCTTGACAGCAGAAACTGTTGCTGGAGGTTCTTCAGTGCCGACTAAAAGCGGGTCTGTGGCACATGGCGCTTTGTGTAGAGGAGTGGAAGACAGCAGGTGCTCTTTGCTGGCCAGTATGATGCTGTCTTTCCCCAGTGCTGTGAGGGGGGTGGTGGATAAAGATGACCTTGAATGGCCATTGGGGTCTTTAACCTCAGGCTTGACAGGGTGCACCTCCATGAACGTGGGGGCCGATATGTCTCCGACCGACTGAGCCGTCAAATCGACAGCCGAAGACGCGGTGGAGTCCATGGTGGACACTACGGTGGCAGCTGCCTCGTGGAGTGGAGTGTCGTGCACCCTGGTGTAGTCCCTGCTGCTCTCGGACTGCGCCAGCAAGAGGCGCTGTTCTCCAGGTTTCCTCGGGGGGAGGAGAGGTTGACGAGTGTAGCTCTCGCCGTCGGCCAGGGTCTCGGGGAGGGGCTGGTAGCGAGTCTCTGGCAGCAGGAGAATGCAGATGATGCAGATGAGGGTGCAGCAGGCGAAGATAATGTGGTGGAGGAAATAGCCCTTCTGGTTGTGGAGCTCCATGATGGGTGCAGTCAGCATGCCGAAGCCAGCACTGGCAAGTACCAGGCCCAGACCACCACCCCTGAAAGCAAACAGAAAAGGCTGTCACCTGGTGGGATTAAGGATTACAATCACACATACCTGAAAACATCATTAAAGGGCAGAGGTACCATCAAAATAAAATGGAAGCTCTTATTTTTCACTGCAGCAGAGAGTCAAACCGTCCTTACTCTCCTGCCATTCCCCTTACATACCACAGAGTGGCACCCTCTGAGCACTGTCACCAGAACAGCACCCCTTACATAACCTCAGATAATGAACATCCAGTGCTGTGTCATATATTCTCACAGAGGAAGGCTAATTTGCAAAAGATATGGATTACATTTGACACCGAACTGTGTTGTTTCCAGCAGCTCCATGATTTCATATCCGCCATTAACAACAGGGGCAGTACCTCATCCATCTGTATTATGTGATGAGAATCCAACCATTAAAATGTATTTGTTACTCAGGGCACTTATGGTAACAAATTAAACTACACAAATTAGAGCAAACTAACTAACTACCTAACAATAAAGCTTGCTTTAAAAAACAGACATTTACTCGTCCTCCTCTTGCGATGTTACCATCAGTGATTCTGTGGGTTTTACCTGATCACAGTGGGGGTGATCTCGGCACAGAAGAAGATGCTCAGGTTGCTGACTGCGTGGGAGGAGAACATGCCGATGATGGAGAAGGCGATGGAGAAGTTCTTATTCAGCGTACCTGAGCTGTCTGCAGACAAAGCAGGAGACACACACACGCAGCAATTTAGAGTCAGAGCCCAGACCAATCAAGTAAAAAGGACAACAGGGTATAGTACATATAAACAAGGGCTGGGGACAGCATAGTTTAACAGCATAATTTAACTATATGTGTGAAATTTCATGGAAGCAAAGAAACTGAAATGATTTGAAATATTAAAGGAACTTTATGCAAAGTTGTGATATTTCATCTCTAATCGATAATCTTGAAATTTAAATAACACTGAATTTGTATCATCAAAAGTGACATTTATCTTTATGTGTTTCCTTCAAGGTCTACTCAAGTGGGGCTTGGAAGTTCAGGAAAAGTTTCCAGAGACCCAGCTGAACGTTTCTTTCTTATATCGCCTGACAGATGGGATGTAACCTGACAGGAAACAGGTTGGTTCGTTTTTAATTGGGCTGAATTAAATGTCCTTCGTAGTTTTCATGTGATCATTTTGAGCTTTTTTTTTATTAGACACTTGAAATCAAGGTATCAGAGAAGTACTTTCTGAAAATGGACATATAAACCACATTGTGTATTGGGAAGTCATTACTTTTCAAAATTGAAAATCAAACTAATGGTACTTCTTTGCATCCATTGACAACACACACAGTAAATCACAAAAACGTATAAAACATGAGCTATATGGCCAAAGAATATATCAAGATGACATTTTTATATTAGTCATTACTTATGATGATAAATGTCACATTATTACAGATTTTTGCTCCTGAGTAAAGTTTAATGGTTTAGAACTCTTTTTTATGGACAAAGATAAAATAATTTACAAACATAAATCAATGTGTTTTACTTCCTCACTGTATTTATACAATGCATAAGAAACATATCAATATATATTGAACCGTTGTTATATTGCCATCGATGAAAATTAAATTGCGGTAATTATTGATACTGTTCTATTGCCCAACTCTAACGTGTGCCTATTACATCTCGAGCAAAAGATATTTAAGATTTTCTGAATCAAAATTTCAGAACATATCATCATTGTCAGTAAAAGACCTGGAGGTGAAGGGCAAATAAACTTTGGTCAAATAAAAGCGCAATGATTTACCAGCACTGTTTATTTGGACCATTTAACAGGAACAGGCTACAAAGAGTTCATTTAGTCTGAATACAAACCCATTTTCATTTGTTTTATGAATAAGACGTGTGGCACAGAGAGGATCAGAGCAGACTGAGGAGTGATCAGCTCTCGCTCCCCGCAGGGGGATTAGTGTGGAGGAGAGCAAAGAGACTGATAAACAAGAGAAGAGTGTGAGATCCACAGCTCTGTGACAGAAAGACGCTCACCCTCCTCAACACAAAGGGGGATAAATAAATAGATTCAGACAAAGTCATGATTACATCCATGATGTAACGGGTCTGCAGGGCTTATAATGAAATACTGTAGCGTATTCGTGTGCGGCAAATTTTCTAAAATCTCATCAAGATATAACGGCAAAAGTGAGTAACTGTGTCAGATGATTTAATTCACGCTGAGAGAATGTGCCGCTGATAGATATGATAGTGGGTAGAAAAAATTATCAAAGCAGAACTAATCAATTACTTATCAGTTTGTCTACAGATTTGATCAGAACAGAAGACTTGAGGGTAGAAATAAAAAGGTCCTACCGATGTTCAGGTGGCCGCTGTACTTCCCCAGCACTGGAGGAGAGAGATCAACAGATATGTATCAGTGAGGAACATAACACAATATAATCATATGCACACAGATAATATATTTAATCGACAGTGAGATAATAACAATAAAAATGTGCACATGTTGCGCAGAAACAAGTCACAGAGCGTTAGAACCAACAACAACTTCTCCTGGAATGGTGAAACATGGGCATAACCTTGATGTGTTGACTCGGATTAAACATTAAGTCTAGCTCACTGGTAACTGAATAAACCCACTTGTGGACTCTGGTGATCGTCTGGAGCATGTTTTGCTACACATTGACTAGAAGGGTAATTTGCAATCATGTTTGACGACTCCATTACAAACAACTACAGGTAACTTACACAGTACACTCACAACGAACCAAAGCGTTTACAGCAGGAAACACAGGGTTTGAAATGCAACTACAGCTGCAAAGAGACATTTACATATTATTGTATTCAGTAAATTTTAGATAAATGGATGACCCTGGCAAATCCCATGAATAAACCAAAGCTGTATAGTTTGTCTCAACAGACTTTTTAAAACCAGCCCTTAATGTTTACTAAAGCTGCTTTCAGACACGCACTGAACTCCGAATAATCTCTTGAAATGATCCAGAGCAACGTACATGTCTGAGTCAGATTTTTTCATGCCAGACCCGTGATAAAATAACCAGAGAGGTGACTCCTTATAGCACATCGAATGACATGTCAAATTTGAGAGATAACGAGATTCAAGAGCTTTTGGTGATGCGAGCCGACGGCAGTGTTGATGTGCTGTGAATTCTGTATTTGTATGCCCTTTTTGCCTCCTGCGTGATGCCACACCTCCTGCTGTGTTTTTCATATGTGATAAGGAAGGTCTGCAGAATGTCCGCCCAATTGTATCCGGATTGTGATTTCTTGGTCAGGCCAGGGGAATTTATTTTAGCTTGAACAGAGCTAGGCTAGCGGTTTCCCCCTTGCGTCTTGTCTTTGCACTAAGCAAACTGCCGGCTGGCACTACCTTTATATTTAGCATACAGACATGAAAGTGCTATTGATGAGCCGTTTTTCCAAAACATTACTTAAATGAAACCAAGAACTCTCAAGGATTTGTGTCTTTAGTGAAAGTAAGTGTAAGTATGTGTTATTCATAATAAACTCACAGTTGAGCAGGCCCAGCTGCAGCAGTGAAGCCAGGGCAGTGATGATCATGAACATGAGAAGGCCCCCCCGTCGGCCCATCAGACCCACAGCTGGGCACAGTGCCATGCAGGACGCCACCGCGATGCCCGCCATGGTGTAATAGTCTGCATAGAAGTTATGGAACATGGTGGTCTCCTGGGCTTCAGGGTCCATCATGCTGCGAGCAAAGCAGTGGTGGATCCCGTAGCCTGTGAGCCTGCATGGAGAACCAAACAAAGACATATCAGCGAGTGCAGTGGCTGAAACACTGTAGCAGATACAGACAGAACATGTATATAAAGATGGACAACAAGACCACTCCCCAAAAGTGAAGCCAAAATGTCTTGATCGCCCTGGTGGTTGGCACAGTATAGAACATAAACCCCACCTCTATGTTAGTGGATTGGACATGGACCAAACTAAAAAGGTTTATCCCATTGATGTTTGTTTGATGTTTGTTTCAGTTCCATCTGGTTTTACTTGAAACGTCCCCATAGATCGAACACAGACTCCGTCCCCTGATCTCTACAGACTCTGGTTCCAAATGCGCATGTAGCTGCATCTGTATCTGTGACATTTTAGCTTAATTTCTGGACAGGGGGAGGTGTGCGAAAGTATTTAAACAGTATTTATGAAAATTAGAGGAGTAAAATGATATATGCAGAGGGAACAGGAGGAGGAGGGGGCAAAATTATGTTTACCTTCATCTTAAAATAATCCATCTCAAAAAACCGCATGCATGTAAACACTGGCTTACTGACACACAAAGCATACACCCCAGGAGTCTATACAAAAAAAACATGAGCAAATACGCCCTTTTCTCCTGCTCGTCTAATGTTTCACAAGAACACAGCTCATGTAAAATTTATGCTGATTCAGGAGTCAGGGACACAGTGCACAGAAGCAGAGGGAAAGCTGGGACTGCCGGACTATAGAGAGGAGGAGGAGGAGGGGAGAGAGGAGAGGAGAGAGGGGAGGAGAGGAGAGAAAGAGAGAGAGAGATCCCACTGGAGATGAAAAGAGGGAGCAGCACAAATGTGGAAGGGCAAAAGCATCGAGGGCCAGTGATCAATGCGGTATCGAGCCTCCAGGTTAATCGTGGCATCTTTACTGTGCAGAACGACGCGGCTGACTGGCATCGCCTCGCCCCACACACACACACACACACACACACACACACACACACACACATTCAATGCTTTTCGCGCTCACACGTTGTCACCTTGACACATGAAAGGTCCAAACAGTTTTCTAAGCACTAAAACGTACGAGTTGACGCAGAGCACGACGATGTTCTTCCACAGGTTTCTTGTCCCGACCATCTTCACAATACATGTCTTTTTGGGTTTCTTTTGAAGAGCTCGCTGCAGTTCTGGAAAGAAAAAGCAAACAGATAAATCTCTGAGACTTTTGAGGCAGATGTCAATATGGTTTTAAAACGTTTTATTCGTCAATTGATAAATCGGTCAGGCTCTTGTGGGTGTGTGCAGAAATGTACTGTTGATTGATAAAATACAACTAAAATACTTTGTACTTAAATTAAAGGTCCAGTGTGTAAGATTTAGGTGAAAGGGAACTATTGGCACAAATTTTATGTAAAATAATCCTCATGCTGTTTTCACCAGTTCGTTTCATCTAAATTGTATGAATTGTAGTTTTATTTTTATATTTAAATACTTTATATTAACATCGAGGGGACCCTCTCTACGGAGGATGCCATGTTTTTTTACATTAGTCCAGACTGGACAAACTAAACACCTTTTGATTTTTATGACAACTGAAGCTACCACAGGTTCTTTTTCATGTTTGGAAGGTGAGGGTGAGGTGACAAGTGTTCAGCTGCAACTTCAACACTAGATATCACAAAATTCTATACACTGTATCTTTAAATACTCCAATTTATGTTCCCTTGTCTATATTTACAATATATTTAGGTAAAGAATGCCCCTGGTTATGTTGCAATCACAGAGAATTCCACATGAGAAAGTTTCAACCCACACAATCTCGTGTGGTAAGACAGGTGTGACGACGTTTACAGAGGAACAGGAACATTTCTTGACAGGGCTCCACCCCTGAGCTGCAGGTGAAATGTGGTGTTGCACACACAGTGGATGTTTTGGTTTCAGTGTATGGGTTGCCACAGCAACACACCTCTGCTTTGCAATACTGTATGTCCTTATCAGCTTGGTCAGGTGACTTCCCACCAGTGCCTCAAGGTCATCTCTGACTTTATTACTCATGGTTTCCAGCTGCAAGCTGCTGAGTAATACTACCGTCTAAAATCTGTTCTCTCAATCCCCAAAGTGATTTAATCAATAGTCACACATGTGTTTGTTCATGTCTCAATACTTGAAAAAGTTTCTCAACTCCTCCCCTGTAACAACACTGAGTACATTCAGTGCCCGACATATTTAATGCTGAGCACTTGAGAGTGGGGAAATTGATGTAAGGGTTGGGGACAGCCAGTAACTATAAAAACCAAGAGAGAGTAAATTAATTTCAATGGAGATGTACTTTTCTCAATGCTGCTTCAGCACAGTCTGGGTACTAAAACGTTCTTGATACTTAAAAGCTATTCTTGACTGATCAGAGCTTCTGTAATAAAGAGTCCATACAACTGTTATTCTTATTGATCGATGATTAACAGTCACTGTACCTAGAAAAGCCATATTAGAAGTTATTTATGTATTAAGAAGCCTGTCAGAGTTGATTTCCTAAATTTCCTATTTTTATATAAAGAAAAATCTATTTCCATTTCTCTCTAGCTTCCTGTTAGGAGGCAACTTTTCTCTCCCTTTTTCTTCTATACTGATTAGCTCCACATCAGTGGTTTCACTTTCTTACACACAACATTACTCAGTGAATCAGTAACTACAACAAAAATGTTCACTAAAACACATATGCTTTATCTTATATGTTGCTGTGAGTTTCATTACATCGTGATTTAGTTTCAAATAATTATTTGCAGCATCTGATAAATGTACATAATAAGTCAATGGCAAATATATTACACTATTTCTACAGTGTGAGGCTGAGGCACATTTCCCTCGTATGTTACAGTGACAGCGTTGCTTTATAATGTGGGTGTTTGAAATGCGTCTTAAAGATGACTCTGCTGTAAAAAGGTGCAGTAAAGATAAACAAGTCATTCTTCAAGCTAATACACGTCTGTGTGGTGCACACAGAGAGTGCGTCTTAATGACTCACAATCCACAAGTTGCTGCCACTGTGTTTCACAGAGTCTAATGAGGATGTTCCACGCCATATGCAATCAACTAAGTTATTTCTGTGTTTTGTCATCAATCATTTTGCGAATGATTGTCAAACACTGAAGAAGACACAAGCTCCCAGCTGAGCGCATGCACACACCCATGCATGTAGGGGAAGGGCTGAACCAAACAGAGGCACGAATCTCTTTCATCATGCTTGAGGCAGAGGCTACTGGTTGTCAAATGCACATACACAACTAATTGAAACTAAATATTGATATAATAAAGAAAGCAGCAGCTGGATTGAAATGATAATTCCGCTGTATGGCTGGCAGCTGAGCAGGGTTACTTGAGAGAAAAGAAAAGGACAGTGTGCAGCTATACGCCCTTAGCCTACAGGAATATTGGTGCTTACGTAATTAACTGTCTGTTTACCTTTCAAACAGCCTTTCATTTGACGGTTTGCACAAAGTCCCCACACATGCTAGTGTCACATCACCTCCCCTCGCTTCTTCCTCCCACTTCAGTTCTGCAGGGAACCATAACTTTTTATATTTTGATAATTGCTGTAAGCAGTGGTTGGCCAAGAACAAAAGAAAATATACCACACCAAACAGCAGAGACCAAGTGTAATAACACACAATGTGCTATAACGTTTGACACGACACAGTCCCCTCTGCTCTTTGCCTGTGGCAGGTTGTCTAAGCTCCGACGTTAACAGTCAACCCTGGGTCAAAGTACCTGACCTGCATCCATCTGCCATCTGCAAACCATCGTTGTCAGCTCGTGTCCACCCACCCGGGCTATAATTTAATTAATGAACATTCCCGAGTGTTATAATGTAATGTTCACCACCCACTGCTGCCTCTGGGGTGGCACGTTGCTATGGTAACAAGACAGAAAACGGATATAACCTTGTCAATCTGTCTTAGTTGGGGAAGCACAGCTGGGGATACATCCTCCATTCCCAAAAATACAATTAGAAAGAAATGTATATGATATATAAAGACACAATCACTAAAGTTATCGTATAATAGGCACTGCAAAATGTGTATTGCAAACCTCCAATATGGCTCAAAGGTCCCTTATGAAGCTACACTTAAATTCACTAGATCCAGATTTTGTTAGGATCTGCACAAAAGTTTACAGACTCAATAAAATCAATCAAGATCCACGAATTATCAAAAAATGTAGCTCGTCTGTATCCCCATCCTGATTCTAAATATAACTCTAATCTATTTTAATGAAGCTGCTGTAAAAAAAATCTTCAAAAAAAAAAAAAAAAAACCCCAATGTAATGGGTTGCTTTCTTACCCCATACCACACCCTTCCACTAAATTTGCCAATAATCAATCAGGTAGCTCTCCCTTAATCTCGCTAACTAACAGAAAAACAAATGCAGATTAGAACATCACCTCCACGGTGGAGGTAAAATATCCAATGTGTTACCTGTGAGGATGTTGTCTGCGTCAAGCTCCATGTTTGCGCGGTTTTTCTTCGCTATGTGTCCCATGATCCACTTGGAGCGGCAGTACTGCTGCGTGGCCAGCAACCAACGCAGTGACTCAGGGAAGATCCTGTAAAAAAGACGGGGGAAGTCCTTCATGAACTCATAAGGCATGAAACATGAGTCAGAGTGAAATGAAGACATAATCAGGGTGTTAGCAGCACTGAATATTATTTTTGTTGACCAGCAACAAATCAGCTCTTTCCTACATTTAAATGAAAAGGTGTTGAGAAAATTAGAGTGGGAACAAAATAAACAAATGAGCGTCAGCCATTGTTATACACATCCCTGATTTCATTTCCTCTATTATCTAATAGTCATACACTACATTGCAGATAAGGTAAAATGACAGGTTTCATTAACTTGCTCTATCTGTAACCTTCTGCACTGTTGAACTCGGCCCGATCAGCTTTATAATTTGCAGAGTCTTTTATCAGCACTGAGTCCAATTTGTGAACTGAAATTCCAAAAGTCCATTCATGAAGGCTAATCTGAGCTCTTCTTCATCTGCCCCTGTCTGTTTGTTTGTTTGTCAGAACCATTACACAAAAAGCACTGAATGGATTTCTACTTAACTTGGTGGAAGAATGTGATGTGGGCAAAGGAAGAACCCCGTACATTTTGGCACGCATCTGGACAAATCTTTTTTCAGATATGCACAACTTTTTCTCCACAACATTGTGGGAGAGGGCGTTTTCTCTTATGTTCCAGGGAATAATTCAGGAATCTTGATGAAATTAGGGACATGTAGAGAACTGTGTGTGAACTTTGTTGCAGCTTGATGGAATATAAGCGGACTGTTGGGCCCTGAGTGCTATTCTAGTTTTTAAAGACATAGGAAAATGTCCATATGGTTTTGATGAAGATGGGTGCACAGTCTATTTCAATAAGTCCTGTCATGGAAAACACCCTCTCTGATGGCACCTATGTTGTAGGCACCCAAATTTGCCAATTGGACATTTTGGGTTAGTTTGTTTTCCACCAATCCCTGGGATCGATGTGGTCGGGTGGGCACATGTCCATGCTGTTCTGCATTGTTTAATTCATGTCCATTGTCTAGTCCTCACCAAACAAGAGCATCATATCAAAAACATAGCGCAGTATTTTATGTTATTTTGGCAGACCGCTCTGTTTGATTAAACTTTATGAGTCGAGAATCCCAGGTTATAAATAACAGTAGATCCAAAGACACTTCTACATTTAAAAAGCAAACATTTTCATTCAATATTAAAAGAAAAGGAAAATCTCACATGCACCATTAAAACACTACTCAGCTGTATGTCTAAGATTTCTGACTCCTGCACTATATCATCCAACTTCTGTAAAATCCCCATCAATCCCCCATTAGTTCTGCTCTGTGTCCAGCTCTGATTGAAGTGCAGTGCTTAAGCAATAATGATGTTTGATCAGGGGGCTTTGGAATACTTTGGGGTGCTTTTTTTTTGGGTCTAGTTTAGTCTATTTTGGATTTTTTTTCCCCGCTGACTTTCAGCAGTGCTTTTGCAGTAAATGAAGGTGAATACAGGATTATTTATGGCCTGAGCTTAGGCTAAAGAGACGCACTCACAGTAGAGGTCACTGCGAATGGGTACACTCGAAGACATTACATTTAATTTGGCAGGGAATTCCCAGTTGGAAAATGTCCTTGGCGCAAAGACTTTGTTTATAACATGTAAATCTGCAAAACCTTTATATATAACCTTTATATAACCTTTGTATATCTTTGATATACAACTTCTGATGCAAGACTTAAACTATAGAAACAACGGATGCTAAATATATATGTAGAGGAGGCTTCAAACACATTTTTACACTTCAACAGAATGACAAAAACATGGATGCTTGGGTTTTTTTCCTTACCAGATGTAGGACAGCATCAGCACCAGGGGGCAGATGATAAAGGCTTGAAGTACCTGCCAGTCGCGGCAGAGATACGCCATCCCGGGCATCAGCAGCTGACCACCCAACACCACAAAACTGGCCACCATGGTCATGGAGAAGCGCCACCCTGGCAGGCACAGCTCAATCCCTGGTAGAGAGAAGAGGACACCACAAATGAGAGGGTACATGTTTTTAATCAGGTTTTCTATGAGGGACAAAGATGAAATGGGCATGTGATAACAGGGCAAATTCCCTATTTCCCAGATTTCTTATCAACCAGTAAGAGTAAAGAGAGAGAGTAAAGAGAGCACTGGAATTGAATGATTTAATTTGTCCCCGTACTGAAGGAAACAGAGCAGAGTTGATGAGTCAACCATCGTAACAGAAACATCCTCTCTGACAAGGTGAGGCAGAGAAACACTTATCCCCACAGTGATGATTCTGACTGAAGGAGTTTTATGTTCTTCTGATGCATCACAGACATACAGTCATTCCTCAACCATCGATCGTCATGACTACTAATGTATTTATATTGTGACTTTTAACACAGAGGGCTTTTACTATACAAGTGTGGGAGCCAGTGCTGTCTGAGTCAAAAGACAAACTGAAAATGTGCATCGGTTAGGGCTGGAAGTGAATTAAAAGAATATTATTCTTATTAAGTTAAAATAGTTTTCTTTTTTTAATGTAAATTAACCACCAAGATTTGTCTCATATCGGTCAGACTGGGTTAGCTGAAAAAAATTGTATGTAAAGACTTGGAATTGTGACAACATTTTTCTGACATTTTATTGATTAAATGATTAACAAGCTGTAGTGTGAGTGAGAAATAGGGGTAAATTTTAGAGTTAAGCTTCATGTAAATAAAGGCCACAAATCAGCAATTACAGTTGTTGTTCAGAAACATTAGACAGACCACGACAGTAGGCCGCTGTGAGAGTGAACTCAGCAGAAAGAGCTTCCTTGTACTCATTTCTCCTCTATCAGAATGGCACTGATTCATTCACCCGGTCATTAACATGCGCCCCACACTGGCAGCCAGCAACCACAGACACTCCAGCCCTTTACTTGCTGCAGTATTTGATGGCTTCACATCAAACCACAGAAAGTGAAAACTCCTGTATCGCGGTCTCTCTCTGTCACCCCCAAATCTTTTTGTCCTACTTCATTCATCCCTGTTTGTTATACATCACTGCTTCTTTTTCCTAACGGCCCCTGTCTGCCTCCCAGGAATGTTGAGAACTCTCCAGATTGGCCTTTCAAGGTGACGGGGCCAGCACATTACAGTGGGTGTCAGTGGCCCTGCTTCATTCCAGTAGAAAAGACCGGAATTTCAATTAGGACTTGCCCCCTTCTGAGGACATGAATAATGCTCTCTGTTCACAGACACTATCGCAGCTGGAATGACAGAACCAATGAGCGGAGAGCAGGGCGATGGGTGCAAGACCTGCTGAGTTTGAACCAACTAACCTCGAGACTCCTTCCCTGTGCGGCGCTGGGAGAAAAGCGGCGGTTCATGGTTATGGAATACTTGGGATTTTAATTTTTCGGTTTTGTATAAGACATCATGTGCTCCAAACAGGCCACTGCCTTGTGACTGGATATCCTATATGGTGAGCTATGGAAAAATGCTCTCACATAGTAAAATGCAGTCATGTAGCAGAACAAACTACAGAACATGATATGTATTAATATGAAATACTAGGATGTTCACTCTGTGAAATATGTTTTCTAGATTGAACTTAAGAATGGAGCACAAGAGGCCATGGAAATGAAAGGAAGCCTGAGCTCCTTACTCCTGGTGACCCTAATCCTCCGCAACCCACTAGATCAGCATTCCCACAATGCCCTGCTCCGGCCTGTGTCCTACAGACATAAATCGACCAATAATCTGAGGTCACATACAAGAAACTTGCCAAAGATGCTAAATAACAGTCTCTGTAGTGACAAAACAACTGGACCCATTAAAACACACATCCAAATGAATTTACTCTACAGGATGTTTAAATGACATAATCAACGATCAAGCCAATAGCCAATTAATAGTAATGATAATCCCCAAAGAAGCTTAGGCTAGTTTGCTGACTTGGGCAAAACAGGAATATGAAGCACGCTCTCCGGTGCATGCCACGTAGCTCACAAGCCTTCTGTCAAGTACACAGCTCCGTCAAGGAGAACCATTGTTTAAAGGGTGAAAGATGTCCACTAAAGGCACTCGGAACAGCCATTCCCACAGGCTCATGTCATGACCTTTTACTGGTCACATGAGGTCCTCAAGGCCCCATGCTACAGTTTCACTAATTTATTTGAGAAGTAAAGCTAGAGAGGCATTTCTCGATACTGAAAGATCAAAACTAAGATTTGTTTCCCACGATTAACTATAATGGCTTTTTTCTGCATTGGCTGTGTAATCCACATCTGGAGCTACAGACCTAGTTGTAGGTAAAAGCAAAGAGCAGCTGGATTAAGAGTTAAGGCCGATCGCTCAGAGACCTGTCGCTAGAAACACAGCGCTAGCAAAACTGAGCACTCGTTTTACTACTCCCTGTGTTGTGCAAGTCACATATGAGGAACTGTATGATTCAGGGTCACTTCATTATTCAAACAGCCATGTGAAGAAAGCTGCTGATGAGTTTTTGAAGGAGCCCCCTCTTGAGTTACAGGCCAGTGCAGCTTTGTCAACAAATAGCATTTTCCTGATCAGGAACCAATGAACCCTGGTCTTCGTCTGTAGATCGATTTTCTTTGTGTCTTAGAAAAACTGCATCCTCAGTAGAAAACAGTGATCCCATAGGAGGAATCACACAGTGTGGGCAAGTGCAATGCCTTGTTCAACCCACAGTTTGTGAGGGAAGTCTCTGACACTTTGCTCTTACGGTACATAATCATCCAAGAAGCCGTGGCAGAAGGCCATTGTCCTGATGGAGCATGAGGAGACTTAATCTGCTGACAAGGACAAAGGCTTTTGTCAGGTCAATTAAAGGTAATGTAGAATGGACTTCTCTGCCCAGGGTATTTGTTTTCAAGTTGACGTGCTGAGAAGATTCTATACTGATGGCACATTATCGAGATTCTTTTTGCACATGGGCAGGAACAAGCTGTACTTTATTTGCAATCACTGTTAGGGCCTTGTGATATGACATAATATATATATAATAAGATGATTGAAAAATGCCTTTTGATTCATATTCTTCTTTGTCAACATTTTTTAAAAATTTTTAAATTTGTAATTTTGATACCCACTTGCATTTACGGATTAGGGTGTTTCTTAAACAGGAGAAAAACCCAACAAGAATAAAAACAAAGAACTAGTTTTGGGTGTAGTTTGGGTATGAAAAGTCTGACAGGGGACAGAAAACTTCATCAGTGTGATAAGAACTGCCAAAAATCACAGAAACCATATTTGAGAAAAATCTATTAAACATGTACTTTGACTTTTTATTTTGGTCTATATCTCATCCATGAACATGGAGAAGGCATAGTTTTATGATCTAGAGTGCAGTTAGCAACCAGGGGGCGATCAAGATTATTTGACTTCCCTTTTTGGGAGCTGTCAATCTTTATCTACAGTCTGTGATTTATATAAAGTGGGGTCCAAAAGTCCAAGAGCACTTTCCTATTCACTTGAATGGAAGAGCAGTTTCAGACTTTTGGACCCCACTGCGTACAGAATGATTGTGCTGGCCCATGTATATCCTGAGGTATTGTTGCTCCTTCAAAGCAATGAAAAGGAGCCATTGACTAAGAATAAGGTCAAACTCATTGATTAGTCTCTTATCTGAAGCTCAACTTGCCCCAACTAGACCCGACTAGCCACACTTTCTTTTGATCTGTTCAATGTGGAAATTTCATCAATCAAACCACAATTAAATCACGACCAGGAGAGGGTTTTCTTTGGATAATATCTCTGTGTGTGCGTTTCTATGACTGAACTGCTCCTGGCCCCTCTTCTACCCACACACAGCACAGACCGAAGAGGAAATGGGAACAGAGTGACTGATGAATAGTTTGCTCTTTGACACAAACAAGAATAAGCCCTGTGTTTCCTTAGCACACCAAACTCGTCAGTCTCACCCAGAGAAGATCTGAAACAGCATTCATTTATTTTCACACACATCAGAGGAGAGTGCAAAGGTTGGCCCAGCTAATTGGCCATTCACTGGACTTCACTCAGGAATTTCCAGCGTGAGATAACTTGAGGTTATGTCATGCAGTGTGTCTTTCACTGGAAACCTTTCATGACAAGGTAAAATATTAGAGAAAAATTTGAAGCATGACCATTGGTTGGTACAAATGTAGGATGTACAGCAAATGTAGACTAATGTTAAAGTGGAGGAAGTCTGGCGAGTGACGAAAAAAAAGCTAACTCTGCAAAAAAAGGGAACTTTAACCCTGGCCAAAGGAAAAAACTGACTCTGCAACTTAATCCATATATCAGCAGACGGCCGGAGCAGATTGTGGGGAAGGATGAGGACAGTTCAACCAGAGTATCATGGAAAATACCACTCTTTGGCTGAGAAGCGTTTTGCTCTTTCTACACAGTACAGTCCCACCTTGTCTTCCTTTCAGGCCTTAGCAGGGTTCATCTGATGACAGTACAATATCTCCGCAGTGGTGTGAGGTGGACCTGGCAGGTGTCCTCTGGGAGGAATAAAGCCATATGGTGGGGAATGAAAAGCTTGTCTCTTCAGAGTCCAGATCTGGCACACATTACTTACTCAGTGCAAACTTGATTGATATATCCATCAATGGCAAACACAGCAACAGAGAGTTAGACAGGCAAGTAGAGGAGAAAGGCAAACAAATAACGCTGTCCGTTAGACTGTACTAACAAATAGGGAAGCTGACATTGACACAGAGGAGGCCATTTATAGAAAAATACACACACAGCTTCCATCTTTCAGTCCTGCCCCCTCCACTTCATCTGTGTGCAGAGAGATTAATACCTGTGGGCTCCACTGAGAAAAAACTCCTCATTACAGGCAACACACGGTAAAGCGAAGAGGACTGGACTTGAGGCTCATTTATGCTCAATGTTAGATACTCATACGGAAACAAACTCACCCTTCTCTCCGTACTCAAAACAGACAAAATGGAGTGGTACAACTACAAATCGGGTTGGGGCAATGTAGTTCAAGGGAGATGATC